TGCAAAAATGAAATTGGGAAAAAGGAGGGGGGAAAATAAAAGCGAGAAAAGAAAAGAAAAGAAAAAAAAAAGAGCGAAAAGAGAGAATGAAGTGGAAGAGGGGAAGAGACTTTTTTATATGAGGAGAATACTCCTATAGAACAGCCATTAATCCCAACAACTTCCAGCAACAGCTCCCTGGAGATGAATGCAAACTAGAAACAACCAATAATATAACGATGAAAATAGAATGGAGAACACTAATCCCAAAATAAAATAAACAGAAAATAAAATGGCACTTTAAAAAAAAAATGGTAAAATGGTAGCAGTAATAATACTGGTTAAAAATAAGAAGGTAGTAATTAAAAGGGTAAAATCAGGTGATGGAAAAAAGAAGAAGAAAAAAAAAAAGAAAAAAAAAAGCAGAAGAAAAAAAAAAAAAAAAAAAAAAATTTGGTTTCTTAGTTAAAAGGTGAAAAAAGAAAAAAAAAATATTGCAGTAGTGAAGGTCCTTCGGTTCTTCTATTCTTCAGTGTGGCTCGCCTTAGACCTGCCAGGTATTCAGGAGAGTGTTGAGTTTCCCTGCGATACACTGTTCCTCTGTGTTGTAAACCACAGTCCTTATTTTAAAGCAAGCCGCATTTGTTTCCCAGACTGCCTTATTTTGTGTTTAGCAAAGAGTCAGTTTGTGGGTCAGCCTCTGGGTGGCAGTGTTCTGGGGTTGGCCTCTGAGGCTATAGGGCCTCTCTGTCCAGTGGAAGTTCACTGCCCAGAGCTGGCTGCGTAAGAGTTACCAGTGCTGTGTTGTTGCTGGGATTGAAAATCCCTCTATAGGCCAGACCCTGTTAACTCCCAGGGACTGATCAGGTTATTTTAATCCTTGATCTCCTACAGGGTGGAATCTGGGTGTGGCTGTGCTCCTTGCCTGGGGGCTGGGGGGAGGAGTCTCACTCTCCGGAGAGAATGGCTGCCTCAGCCCTGGGCTCAGGGGTGGCTCAGCACTCAATTCGCTGCCACCTCTCCCTGCCCCCCTTCTCTCCTCAGTCTCTCCCCAGATTCCACTCCTCCGCACACTCTCCCTCTCTTCAGCACAGGTGAGTGTCTGTATCCGACATGTCCCATGAACAGGGTTCAGTGAAAACAAACAAACAAACGCCGGCCGCGGAAACGGGGAAGGCTTGGTTTCTGTAAGCTTCTTCTCTTACCGGGACTGCATGGTCTGGTCAGCTCTTCAGGCTGCCCCCTTTAGGCTCAGTCCTCCGTGATCACAGACCCAGCTCTCCATTCCCCCGGCGGCGCCAGGAATCCCGCGGTTCTCCTTTCCCCTGTTAGGGGCTGTGCCTGTCCCAAGGGACGCGGCTGTCTGCCACACGCTCTCCCTCCGACTCTCTGGGCTCAGAGGTCTGGCGAACTTTCCTGCCCAAATCCCTGGTTTTTTTACCTTTCCAGGGGAGTTCTGCTCTTCCCGGCTGCAAACCGTCTCGCCAGCTGAGGAATTTCGCCAATTCGGGGTGGATGTTACTAGTTTCAGCTGCTCACTCCATTTTCTACTTATTTATTTTAAAATTTTATTTTCTCCATTAACATTTATTCCCCCATACCCTTTTCCACCTCCACTCACCCTTTTGCCCCTGCAATCACCACACTGTTGTCTGTGCCCATGAAACATCTTATAATCTTAAATGAAAAAATACAGTGCCCCAAACCAAATATTTAAAAAAATTACAGATTTCTGTAACAAAACTACATATTTTCTGAATTGTAAATCAGTAGGTATTTGAGGACAATTATTAGAGGAAATTCCTAAAACAGGAGAATCTTAGTTCTTTTCAGTAAATAAATACAATTTTCTGGGAAGATTAAGAATTAGTAGGGAGTCAACTAAATTTTAAGATCATTGGTCTGTAGGTAGTTTTTAACCCTCTCAACTTTCTAAACAAAACGTAAGGCCAACTCAGTGCTCTGTATTCTGAAAGCATTGGCACCAGCAACTGCTTCACTCAGAATTCCTCATTAAATTCCTTGGAAGTCGGAGGTCTGGGCCGAACAGGAGTGTTTGGGAGCCAGGCCGTTCCATGTCCACATTTGCAGGTGGGGACGTACTGTACTTCCGCTAGTTTACGCTGGGATACATTTGTACTAGGTTCCCCTGTACTTGGGAGCGGCGTCATGGCCTCGCTCTGCTGTGTCTGCTGTGGATCCGAGGCCCGCCTGTGTGAAGTGAGCCCCTCTGTCAATAATAACGATGATCTCTTCCAGGGGCAGGGATACCGTCCCTCCTCTGGGGAGATGCATGCAAACACCTGTGCTGTTGCCTTGTTCAGGTCAACCTTCAGGGGCTTGTGCTTAGATGTTGGCCTCACGAATGGGCTGTTTCATTCTTTTTTATCTGTCTTTACGGAATTCTCTATTGCATTCTTTACAGCACTACTGAGTAGTTAGAACATCCTCTCACTGACACAATACTGTTCTTAACTTAGCAAGCAAGTAGCATGTTTAGAAACTTCTTTATAAGTCTTTTTAAACACTGCACTGTGTGCATCACAAAGCTGCATACATCCATTTGCTGTATTGCACTGCTCTCGTCATGGTAAGCAAGTAGAAACTTTGGAATCTCCCATTTCACATGTGCTTTTAAACACTGCAGTACACGCATTATAAAATTGTAAACATGTCCATCTGCTGAAGTGACACTGTTTTCAGTGTGGCAAGTGAGTGGCACATCTCAAAAACGTGTTTTAATCAGGACTCCAGAACGAATGGATCATGACCTCAAATTATGCCCCTTCCCTGATTTACAACACGTACCTCCAGAAATCCTTAGTTGAGTGGTAATTTCTTTTTTGGGGAGCTTCATTTGGCAATCATAAACCCAGAAATCTTGCTTAATGCTGTTGTTCCCTGTAAGTTCTAAGATGTGCAACATTTTATCTCCTTTTTTGGGACCTTCGTGACTACTGCAAGAAATAACCAAAACTTTCTAGGAACTTTTCAGTTTCCTAAAATGTTGTCGTCTCTGAATACGAATTCTGATTCTCCAAAGAAAATGTGTATTAGACATAAATTTACCAGCAACCCAGTAGCACTTAGGATCTACCCAAGAGAAACAGACCTGTGTCTACACAAAGACGTTAGAGGAAGGTTCGTATGTACCTAAGGAAATAAATTCATCTACACCCAGACTTTATGTGAATCTTCACATCTACTCAAGAGAAATAGACACACACACATCTACACAAAGACTTGCATGGGATGTTCTTAGCAGCTTTACTCAACCCTAAAAGTGCAGACAGTTCAAATGCCAGCCGATATGGATAAATCCACTGTGGTACATCCATACAGGGAATATTACTCAGCTATAAGAAGGAATGGTGCATTGACATACACTTGACATGGGTGAAATGCAGAAACATTGTGCTCCACTAAAGAAGCCAGATGTATACGATAGTACTCTATGATTCCATTTATGTAACATCCAGGAGAGGCAAGTCTGTAGGAACAGAAGATAAATTAGTGGCTGCCCGGGGCTGAGAGTAGGATGGGATTTACTACAGATAGGTACAACAAATCTTTTTTAAAATTTATTTTAAATTTTTATTTTTATTTATTTTTTTTGTTAATCCTCATCTGAGAATTTTTTTTTCCCATTGATTTTTTTTTTTTTTTTTTTTTTTTTTAGAGAGAGTGGAAGCTGAGAGGGAAAGACAGAGGGAGAGAAACATCGATGTGAGTGAGACAAATCAATTAGTTGTTCCTGCATGTGCCCTGACTGGGGCTGGGGATCAAGACTGCAACCGAGGTACATGCCCTTGATCAGAATCAAACCTAGAACCCTTCAGACTGCAGGTTGATGCTCTAACCATTGAGCCAATTGGGCTAGGGCACAACATCTTTTTGGAGTGATGGAAATGTTCTAAAACTGTATCATGGTGATGGTTGCCCCACTCTGCAAATTTACTAAAAATCAATTGAGAAAGAAAGACTTAAGAGGAGGAATGATGATTCTAAAGAGAGAAAGCAGATGCAAATTCAACCTTCTTTGCCCAAAAATCACAGTGATCACTGGCTGGCTGACCAGATCGGGGACCTGCTCAGCCCCTAGGTAGACCAGCCAATGCTGCAGTTTTCTGAGAGTCTGGAAACTGCTGCATTCCACTTTTGATATTTCTAAGTTGACTAGAACTTTAGTTGCTACTTAAAGAAAAACTTAGTAAGTCAGCATGGGCTTGAAGCTAAAAGGTATTTCACGAAGGCCAGAGCAGCAGGACTCGAGAAGCAGCCTGTAGCCCAACAGCTAGGCCTCTGTAAGAAACAAGAAATTCCTTCTCTAATTTTGTTTTTGCTTAGTTTAGTTTGGTTTGGTTTTCTATATACCTGCTTCATTTTTCTCTCACGCCTCAGAGCAGCACATGGTACGTTTGTCTACGCCAGTGGTTCTCAACCTTCTGGCCCTTTAAATACAGTTCCTCATGTTGTGACCCAACCATAAATTTATTTTCGTTGCTACTTCATAACTGTAATGTTGCTACTGTAATGAATCATAATGTAAATATGCAGGATGGTCTTAGGCGACCCCTCTGAAAGGGTCGTTCAACTGCCAAAGGGGTTGCAACCCACAGGTTGAGAACCGCTGTTCTAGGCAGACACAGGTAACATCACAGAGAATGGTGGCCTTATTAGCTGCTGTGTTCACATCTTCACCGAGACTGATCAGGAACTGATGGTTCTAAATGCTGGGGAATGACTCAGACCTGCCAAGATTAGATCAGGTGCCCCTCCTCCTATATCAGGAGAAGTTTCCAGAATAGCCAGGATCACTGTGATTCAGGCAGCTCCTCTCAGGAGGGTCCGAAGCTGATATTCCCACTGCAGAAGTGGTCGTATTTGCTAATTGTTACCAATGAATGTAGGTCCTCAAACGGGGCTGGGTGGAGGAGGTATGAGGTTGTGTGTGAAGACCCCACTGCCAGCACATTTGTCCTCGTCTCAGGTTAACACGCAGTGTGTCCTTTCCTTCGCAGTGGATTTACCCAGGTGGACAGTGACAGCATGAGCATTGTGGGCGTGGAAGCCAGAAGCGCTGGCACGAGTATTCTGAGGTCATACTACTTCCAACTGCGACGAGACCTAGGTGACTGCATTGGTTAAAGATCATCTCACTCTGGTGAATAGCTTGTGTACATACAGACTAAAATGATTTTTTAATCAACATTGGGAATGGAAGTAGTAATTTTCAAATGCCTCCTAGGAGCGGGCACTGTGCTATTTGAGTTTATGTAAATAATCACAGCAAGCCGATAAAACAAGAATGATTCTCTCTGTTTTTCAGACAAGGAACAGGAAACGTAACAGGAGAGTCAGTAACCTGTTGTTGGCCCATGTTGCAGCTGCCTAGCAATCTGCCCAGCGCTATTCAGATAGTAAGTGGCAGAAAGGAGAGAATGCCCAACGGGGGACTAGAAAGCCCCTGCTTACAGTGCTGGGGGTGTCACAGAATCATTTTTGTTGTTCAGATGTGTAAGTAAATGTATTTTATCTTCTTAATCTTGTGCAGTGTGCTTTAGACACATTAAAAAAATAAATCGCTATCATGTAGATGAGTTTCATGGCATTGCATCATGTAATTGTAGGGAGACTTTCGTATTTTTTGATGGTGGTGCCCCTGGACTTGGTCCCCTCGGAAGCCCTGACTGGTGTAGTGGCGTATCTTTCAGAGTTCTTAATTGTAAGCAAGAGGAACAGCAAGCTGGTGGGTCTCTGTGAGTCTTCCTCAAATCCTTTCATGAGCTCCTGATGTAGCCCAAGATATTCTGTATTAAGTGGATATAAAACATTAAAATATTCTCTCTAGCAATTGACTACAAGTGAAGTCTTTACAAATTCTAAAATAGTAATTGCTAATTGTAATTCAATAATTCCTTTTTTTAAAAAAGAGTGGCTTTGATACATACACACAGAAGATTGAAAACATTTTAAGATAGATGGATTAAGTAGAAATAAAATCTCAGTGAAATAGGGGCAGAAGATAATTTTCTTGATAAAGGAAATCTAGAAGAAACAGCAATCATGCTTAATAATTAGAAACATTTCCACTGACGTTAGGAACAATGTAAGAGTGACATCACCACCATAATTATTACCTTGGAGGTGCTAATAAATGTAATACTTTTTTAAAAACAAAACTGAGTTCTAAAAATATTAGAAAGAGGTATATTAACCTTAATTTCTAAAAAAAAATATTATCTTAAGAAAATAATTAGAATTAATAAAGCAAAATTCCTCATGATTGGTGAATTAGTTATGTACATATTAAAATTAGGGTACCAACAATTAGAAAATATGATAGGAAAAGTATGCCATCACAATAACAGCAGAAATTATATCTTGAAATGATCTTTTTTTTAATCCTTACCTGAGGATATTTTTCCCACTAATTTTTTTCTTTTTCTTTCTTTTTTTTTTTTTGTTAAGGGAGGGATGGGGAGAGAGAGAACCAGCAGTGTAAGAAAGACACATTGATTGGTCACCTCCCACATGCACCTTGACTGGGGCTGGGGAACAAACCTGCAACCTAGGAATCAAACCCGCTACCCTTTGGTCCACAGGCCAACACTCTAACCACTGAGCCATGCCAGCCAGGGCATCTTGAAATTATGTTTAACAAAAAACTTTATGGAGGAAACACACAAAGCTTTTCTAAAGAATATATAGATAGAGTTACTATTTTAAAGGGGCCACAAATTGAAAGCAATACCAATAAAGTTGAAGCAGTTTTAAAATAGAAAGTAAAAAATGATTACAAAATGTATATGTACATTTTATAAGGCTAGAGGATGGAGAGACCTGCCCTGTGAGTTATGAAGACAAAATTAAACTTCAGCACTGAGACGAAGTGGTACCAGTGCATGAAAAGACAGAGTAGACGATTAAGAAACAGATCTATGTGTATTTGGAAATTTGTTATATAATATATGTGACATTTCAAATCAGAATGGAAAAATTATGCTGCAGTAAGTGATTTGGTAAGGCTAGCTATCCAGATGGAATAAAATGAGATTCCGTCCTCCCATCATGCAAACAAATAAGTTTGTGTGTAAAGGACCTAAACAAAATTTTAAGATTATAGAGAAAATTTTTAAAGCAGAATTAAATATATAAAATAAAACCCCTAACCAAATAAATGTATTAGTCTATGTCATAATTTAAATCCTTTGTACAAGTGACACCAACATTAAAAGACATGCCATTGACAGCAGCTCCAAAAATGAGCTAATAGGAAATGTAATTTATAGGAGAAGAAATCAAACCAAACCCTAAATTATAGGATAACATGCTCAAAACATTAGTAATCACACAAAATAAAGACATATCACTTTACTGCTACACAATTAGGCTGGCCAAAAAGGGGAGGGAATATAGAAATCTAGATGATGCCAAGTGCCTGTGGCTATGGGGGGATACAGGATCCTCATGATGGAGGCTGCCTCCCACCCCGTTCACAGTCTGAAGGTCTTTGGCCAGTCCAAGGTATGTGTTCCAGTAGTACAACCCATCCAGGGCAGGATCAGAGTCACAGTTCTCAGCTCATCTGTTCTGGTCCACACAAAGGTTGCCTTCTGTCATTCCCTGCAATTTGGCCGGGGAGAGGGTAGGGTTACATCCTAATCTCCTTGACTCTGAGAGTGTAGTTTTGAGGTCTTAGCTCAGATGCTGTGCATCAGCCACGTAGGTAGCTGCAATATGTACTTCAGTCATCTTCCAAAGTGGGGAATGCCTGATGCAGATGGGGTGCCAACCATGGGAGAAAGGAAGTGGCTGAGGGAATTTGAGAAGGTATACATGTTCTGTGTCCCAGCTCAGTCCAGGCTTTGTACCCCTCCCACCCTCCATTATATAAAGAGTGAGGCCTCCTCACTCTTTACAAGTGTGATCAGAGTCCCAGTTGGTGGCCAGTACTGATCTGGAAGTCTGCAGCAAGAGAGTGTGAAATGAGATAGAATCCCTCCTGTTGGATTCCCTTTACTCTGGTAGTACTTTAGGCAGTCTGGGCTGTTTGCTTGGTGGGGTGACCCCGACCTCCACCCCCAGTGTGATGTTTGTGGTTGTTTCTGTGTTCATTGAAATTCATTGATGGTATATCAGTTTAGGGAAACCCTTGTTACTTCTAGGTACTAGACACACTAACCTACTTCATGATTGTCAGTTATACCCCCAGTCATGATAGTCACTCCTTTCTTTGCCTCTTGGGCCATTGACAAAGAGAGTAGGCAGGTGGTCATCACAGCTTCCACCTAAATTTCTGACTCCTGAGAGAATTGTCACTTCTCCTATCTCTAGGAACTAGGACCTGTAATCACTGAGAGCCCAAGGTTATCCAATAAATGAATCAGAGCAGTATTTCTAAGTTTGGTACTCATTTCCTCCAAATTTGAATTTCCAAGAGACCCACCAAAACTTTTTTTAACCAGTTAACTGCCACGATATTTTGAATTTAATTTAAAAAAGGTCGGCCGCTTGCATCTATAGATGCTTATGGCGTACAAATGGTTAAGTAGTGAGATATTTGAGGCACAACATCTTGTCCTTCACCTGAGAAGAAATATCCTGACATGCACTCAACCTTCCCTGGTTACCCTGGCAAGTGGCCATAGGTTCCTTTGAGAAAGGATTGGAGAAATACTTACTGCATACTCTTGTGATGGAGTTATGGGAGCTTTACTCAAGTTCGGCTGCCTGCTGTCACAAAAGCCAAACTCGTGAGACAGATGCTGGTGAAAAGGGAAGGAGGTTTATTCAAGTGCTGGTCTCCTAAGAAGATGGGAGACTCTTGTCACAAAGCCCATCTCCACATCTCAGTGTAGGCAGAGGTTTTCAAAAGGAGGAAGAGGGAAGGCAGAACAAAGAAATCAAGGGAGGAGGGTGAAGAGTTCTCTACATGCAGGCCAGTAGAGTCCATTCCAAAAGGATCTCAAAACTGGTCAAGTGATAGTCTGGTGTGTGTTTTCCTGCTCTTCATCATCCTGGGTCTATGTCATCCTGGTTCTATGGCTGAAGATCAACAAATCTGAAACTGGGATGATTGAAGGTCAGAGTCTGCATCTTCTGAAGTTAGTTCCCAGGATTCTTATATAAACATGCTGTTATCTACAAGTTACATATTAGTCAGAGTTACCATTTATAGAAACAATGTCAAAAGAATGTGGTGTGGGTTACAATTTCCAAGAGCAGTGGTCGGCAAACCGCTGCTCGCGAGCCACATGAGGCTCTTTGGCCCCTTGAGTGTGGCTCTTCCACAAAATACCACATGTGGGCGCGCACATACAGTGCGATTGAAACTTCGTGGCCCATACGCAGATGTCGGTTTTCGGCCTGGGCGAGTCTATTTTGAAGAAGTGGCGTTAGAAGAAGTGGGGGTGTCTGTCGGTCGGGCGATGGGAGACGCGGTGTGAGGGAGGCGCCAAATATCAACAGTACTTAAACTATATAGGTAGGTTAATAACAATGTACCTACTTATATAGTTTAAGTTTAAAACACTTGGCTCTCAAAAGAATTTCAGTCGTACTGTTGATATTTGGCTCTGTTGACTAAAGAGTTTGCCGACCACTGCCCTAGGGTAACGATTTATTTATTTATTTTTTAATCCTCACTCAAGGATATTTTTCCATTGATTTTTAGAGAGAGTGGAAGAGAGATGGAAAGACAGAGATATCGATGTGAGAGAAACACATCAATTGGTTGCCTCCTTCATGAGCCCAGACCAGAGCCCGGGCCAGGGAGGAGCCTGCAACCGAGGTATATGCCCTTGCCTGGAATTGAACCCAGGACCCTTTGGTCTGCAGGCCAACTCTATCCACTGAACCAAACCAGCTAGGGCTAGGGCAGCAATTTTCAACCGCTATGCCACAAGAATTTTTAAAACATGCAGTACCTGACTTTTTAGTCAGGGGCATTGACCTCTTTTCCCTTAGATTTAAAAAAAAAAGAGAGAGAGAGAGACGGCCAACCCAGCAGTAGTCATCCAGTGTGAAAGAATCAAAATTATACTTTTTTTTTGTGGTCAGATTGGCAAAAAATCTTTTTTTTTGGTGTGCCGCAGACTTTTAGTAATAAGTTATGTCTGCCATGAGATGAAAAAGATTGAAAATCTATGCATTAGGGAAACTGACCTTCCTTTTAATTAATGTCCTCTGTATCTACAAGTTTCGAGCTTGGAATGAGTTGTGGGATCTTAACTTTCCATTGAGGTAGAAGAGGTCTAGTTCACTAATTCTCAGGGGTTTTTTTTCTATTTATATAAAAAACTAATGCAGCCGAAACCGGTTTGGCTCAGTGGATAGAGCGTCGGCCTGCGGACTGAGAGGTCCCAGGTTCGATTCCGGTCAAGGGCATGTACCTGGGTTGCGGGCATATCCCCAGTGGGAGATGGGCAGGAGGCAGCTGATCGATGATTCTCTCTCATCGATGTTTCTAACTCTCTATTTCTCTCCCTTCCTCTCGGTAAAAAAATCAATAAAATATATTTAAAAAAAAAAAAAACTAATGCAGAGAAACAAGGCCATAGCATTTATATCATCACTAGGGAATTGTGATGCATCAACCACTGTCCCGACCCGCGGGACAACAACGTGGGAACGAAGAGACACCCTAGGAGAATGAAACAAACAAGGGACACGAGAGAATGGAGGCAAGACAAGTTCTGATCAAGCCTCAAACTTTATTCTCACAGCGGCAGGATATATACTGTTTTAGGGAAGGGGGGTGGGTAAAGGGGTCTATGGGCAGTAACCTATTACTAGTGATTTAGGATGGCTGTGCTTATTAGCGGAGATGTGTGATTTAGCAGGCTCTG